CGCAGCGTTCGCAAGCCGCACCTCGAGGTATGTAGAAAAAACATTTAGAGCCATGTCTATGGCTGAATTGCTGATTCTCTGAATTGACATCGAATCTTCAATTAATCAAACCACTGTCCCCGATTTGGGCCGAATCTGAATCAAATATGGCCTGTTTCGCACACCCCTACTGTCTTGGCTGTACTGACAGTCCCTAGATGTCCATAACTGGATTGCCACTACATTGCCGGGAATGGGGAAGTAGAGACTTACTATGTCAAAGTGTTGTTTTATCATTAATGGAAAATGTCTAAGACAGGAGTTGGACCTTGGCCATAAACTATCAGTGCAAGTGGGCCCCTGTGTAATTAAAACCTTCAATTCCTAATTATTTTATATGCATAAATAATTTTAAGGAATGCCAATTTAAAAATAATACTTCTATCTGACAATAATAAGTACAAAGTAAAATGTAACATCAGTATAAATTGATTACTGACATTTTTTAAAAATTCTCTCACTTCCCTTTTTCACTCTGAGTATTTGCTTTGTAAAGCATTTTTCTTCTTTGGTTTAAGAAAGGAAGGAGTGAGATTTTTCTTAAAATGGAAGGGACCTCTGGCATCTTGAAGTCTGGTCCTTTACTGGCATAGGCAACCATATCATGTGATCTCTTATAAATTTAACAAGCTTTGTTTTAAAACAAGGCATGCTGGTTCTTGTGACACTGTTGGAAGACTGCTTGAGAATCTCATCTTCTGATGGTTAGAAACCTCCTAATTTTCATCCTAAATCAATATATGTAGTTTATATTAATTCATGCTTGTTCCAGCATTGCCAGTTAATTTAAATAGCTCTTCCTTCTTGAGTTTACCTTCTTGATGTATTTAAAAAGAGCAGTCAAAACTTTTTGGTATGATAAACCAGCTCTTGTTGTACAATAGTCCATTTCCCTGATGATCCTACTAGCCCCTTCCCACAGTGGCTCCTGTTTTAAATTCATCTTGAACATGGCAGGGGGTCGGACTAGATGATCTGCTTAGGTCCCTTCCGACCCTAGAAACTGTGGCAGTGGTCTTATTAGGATGTTGTAGAGTAGCATTAATACTACCCTAAGTCTACT